TAATCCTAAATCCTTGTGTTAATATGGTAATTTATTTACATATTTTTTGGATTTCTTATATATACAATCATATCATTTCTGAATAAAAGTAGTTCTTCTTCCTGTTTAATCCTTGTATTTATTTTCCTTCTCATTTTCTGAAAGGAAAAAGATCTGAGGGAATGTCCATCCACTGAGTAATGAATAAAAAATTGTGGTATTTTTATGTAATGGAATATTACTCAGCTATGAAGAAAGATAAACTCAAGGCTTTTATAGATAAATGGTCACAACTAGAGCCCATACTCATAAGTGAAGTAAATCAGACCTGCATACATAAGCAATGCATTGTTTCACTAGTGTAAGAACCTGAAAGAGTGAATAAAAATTAGGAGGTATGACAGACATTGTGAAATGAAAGGAAATTGCTCAAAAGAAAAGAGCAACTGGGATGAGGGAAAAGAGAAAAGAAAGAAGGGGAAATTATGTATGTATGTATATACAGGATAGCTAACATAGTTGTTCTACTGACTTCTATTGCTTCACTGAAAGGAACAGCTAATGATTAATTATTTGATCAATCTTTCATGTGTCTATTTGTTTTCCCAAGAAACTACTTTGAAGAGATCAGTATGTAGTACAACAATCATTGTTAATTTCCTGTCACCTTGTCTGTAACTTAGTATTGCTTGTATTGTTCTTGTGCTATTTTGTAAAAATTCAAATAGTATTATATGTGTGTGTGTGTTGTTATTGTGTTATAAATGTATTTGTGGATATACTGTTAACTTTTTAAAAACACAATCTAAGTGCCCATAATTTGACTGTTAAGTTTAGCTCTATTAGAGTCATTACAATGACTGTGCTAATAAGACCTAATTTCTGTTGTTCTGTTTTCATTTCTTTTTACTCACATTTCTTTTTACTTCTCTTTCCTCCTTGCCTACCAGTTTTCATTATGAAGATTTGAATTCTCTATTTTTTTGAGGTTTCAATATTTTGTTCATGTTTAAGTGCAGTTAATTACACTGTTTGAAGAAGAGGATCTACCTCCATACAAGATGCAAGAGTTCAAATGCATGTATCTATTAAACTGCTAACATTAAACTGAATGAGAAGGAGACAATAGAATTCCAGTTCAGATTCTAAGTGCCGTCACCATGTGATTACAATCACAGGGACACTTCTCAGCCTGTGCATGGAGTTCTTGGAAGCTGCTTCATACTCTGGAACAAGGGCAAAACACTGCAGTGTGAGGGAAAGGTAAATCCTGAATTATTGGCTTCCTTACATTCACCAGTTCAACTCCAAGACAGCACCCAAAAATACTCTGTGAACTATGAACTAGGTGACTTACTGGAGAAAAAAATGTTCTGTTTAAAAGGCCTCAGAAGATCTATCTTTAAAAAAGACCCTTTTCAGAAGAATTTGTACATACCAAGGAGCATTGGACCTCTGCTCAATGAAGGAGAAAATAAAGGCTCACTTCTCAGTAAGGCACAGTTTCATCCATTTACTCAACAACAGTGTCCTCACCTTAACAGTTTCCACTAGCAGCCTTTTCTAATGAAAAAGGAGGGGCTGGGGATTTAGCTCAGCGGCAAAAGCACCTGCTTGGCAAGTGCAAGGTCGTGAGTTCGGTTCCCGGTACCGGAGAAAAACCGAAAAAAAAAAAAAAAAATGAAAAAGGAAACTGGTATCTCTACAGGGACCACCCTTTTCCTCTAAGTCCACAGCTGGAATTGTTTCTTCTGTTCCCATGAAGAGATGAGACTTTAATGATGACTATGGTTAACCTGGAGAGTTAATATGATGGTTGGCAGTACTTACACCTTAAATATTCAACATTAAAAGCTACACTAAATTGTGAAGACAGCTGTGCTGCAAAATAATTTACAATTAATGATTATATAACATTCACTTATGCATAAAATTCCAATCCTAGACCAAGATTTTGGCAACTGGCAATAGCATTCATTCATCAGAGCTCAGCCTGTTGCCTAGCTTTAGAGTTTGAGTGCATCTTACGTCTATCAGGTTAGAGTTTCTCACTTTGAGAAGCAGGTATCGGGATCAATCTTGACCTTTGGCTGCTTTTCCAAAGCAAATGTAACTATTTCTTGCTCTACAAGTGGTCTCCAGCTTTTTGCTCATTCCTAGTAAATAGAGCCTCCAAAATTTGTCCTGTCATTCACATCAGTACAGTAAGGCCCCAATTTACAATGGAGTTCCATTCCAGGAGAACGTTCGTGTTTTTGTTGCATCTGTTCACAATTCTCACAAAGTGAATCTTATACACCTTTGACACAAATATACAATGCTTATTGCCTTGCACTTCCTAGCAGTCTCTTCCACATCACCACTGCTTTACCTCTTGCTTCCAACATCCTGAGCTCTGGTGGAGCGCTGTCCAGTGAGAACACAGCAGCAGACACGTGAACTATTTCCATGATCTATTTCTACCTACAAACATTTGCAATGCCAGGTTGTTCTTATCTGTGAAAGTCTGCAAACTCGAACAGTCATAAGTTGGGAACTTACTGTATAAAGCTATATTCATCAACCTTGTAACAAACTACATGGTTATTCTAGGTCATCTGGCACTTTTCAGTCTCAAAATTCATTCGCTGACTAGCCAGCCCTCATCACCCAGCACTGAAGCACCCTGGATTAAAGGCCCAGAGGGTTCAAAATTCACATCCCAGAGCAGGTTGATGCAAACCCATCAGTGCAGTGCATTGATCTTAGCACTCTCCAATGCCAGGTGAGAAAGCTGAAGTATAGGTCAGCTTCAGTCTGTGTACAAAGCAACTTTCTCTGGTCATCTAGTGCTCACCTTGTCATTAGAGCCCTATTTTTCCATGAACATCAGGCCATATTCGGTTCAGCTCTACTTGAGCTCCAGACCATCTGCCACCTTGGTGGCCTCAATTGAGCCTGAATTTATAAATTCCAGTTCATGCTGCAATTGTGTTTTCCAGTCCAATTGTATTAAGACAGATCTACAGCGCTTGGTGAAGGCAGTCCTGGGGGGTTTATCCGCACTGGAGTATGTGGGACGCACAGCCCTCCTGCTCAGAAGTGATGGTGATAGGTCCAGTGTGGATGCCACAGGGCTAGAAGTTGGTTTTTCTTATGTTGTTTTGAAAGTTACACACTTTGCTTTTATGTCTGGTGGAAATTACTTACTTACTAAAGTGAATAACAACACACATCTGCCTTTACATTTCTTGGAAACAACTCTCTTTTATCACATTACCATGCTCTTTAAGTAATAGATTTTATATGTTTGTTTTTATTTCCATATCTTTGTCATTATTTATTTGAATTAAATTCTACTATTTTATTTACTTAAATTCACCATCCTTGTCCTCTGATATAGTCTCACCTATATTTTTTCTTTCACTGGAGACTTTGTCTGAGTGTTTTTTGTGTGAGAGTGAGTGTTGTATGTTAAAATATGAAGACCTGTTATACCACAGAAAATCATTATCCATCCTCATAGTTAAATGAAAGTCTAGATAGATATGAAATGAAAAGGTCTTTTCCTTAAGTAATTTGCAGACATTAATTACCACTGACTTCTTGTATTGAATGTTACCATGAAGAATGCTCATATCAATTTCATTTCTGTGACCTACAGGAAATACCCCTATGCACTTGAAGACTTTATAATTCTTCCTCAGTATTTGTTACTTCTAAATTTTACTTTAATGTTTAAATTTTTTCTCTCTGCTTAGTTTAGTAAATCATTACACTTTCCATGTGGAATATCTCAATCTGATTTTGTAAAATTCTCGGTTACTTTTCCCTCAAGTTTTCTTTTCTTATCTGTCATACCTACTTATACAGATACTGACACTTCCACTGCCACTGCTTAAATTTCTTAACATTTTTTTTAACAGTTTCCCTCTCTTTACCCCTTCCTAATAATTTGAGGACATTATTTTATCCTGAGCTTCACTAACTTCTTTCTTCATTATTATTCTATGAGCTGATCAATTCACCTATTGGTTACTTTTTTTGGTTTTTTTTGTTTGTTTGTTTGTTTTGTCATTTTGAGACAGGGTCTTTTGGTCTTTTTGAGACAGGGTCTCCAGTTCAGGCTGGCCTTGAGCTCACTTTGTAGCCCAGGCTGGTCTCTGGTCACTTATTTTGATATTTACAATTTTTATATTTATTGTCTCTATTCGTCTGTTGTGTAACTTGTCACAATTTGGCCTAAGGAATATCGAGAAGTAGTCTCGGCAGAAAACCTCCGGAGTCTAACTGGATACAATCATTCCCTATTTGGCAACCCCACTAGAGGATTCCTCTCTATTTCTGTCCTGCTTCCGATCCTTCTGTGATACTTCTCTGCTCCTTTCAGTTTTCCTCTCTCAGTACTTGGGCAGTGGATGATGGTGGGAAGAATTTTCCAGAGCTATGGAGTACACTGGCGCCAATTACTATCTGCCTTGCACGATGGCTGGGCCCTGCTGCTGTCCTGATTATTACTCCACTACCGTGGGTGGTATGCAAATGGTCGGTCCTGCCAGGCCAACAATGATCACTTCAGCACACTATGAGGAAGAAAACTCATATCCAGAAAGCATTTTCTCACCTCCAATCTTCCTCTCTTTCTCTGAGCAGCTTCTCCTTCCCTCCATTTCTGTCTCCCCAAATCCTTGTAATAATCTTTGCTCAAAGTTTTGATAGACACCAGCCTGCCTCTTCCTTAAGGCACAGCTCAGGAACGAAGAACATGAAGCCATCTTGTCCACAAATGTAAGATTATTAATGGAAAAATCCACATAAACAAGGCAAGTTTGCAAGTTAGACACAGGCTATAGACTAGTACTTTTAAGGCTCTGGTATAAAGGACAAAATATTGGAGAGCTTTAAAAGGTCAAATAGCATCTGTCCACCTGCAAAATGTATTTTCAGAGGAGGTGTCATGTGAAAACAGAACAGCTGGAACCTACGGAAACCACTAAGTATTTGCATACAGAGCCAACTTCAGCTTGTATCTGAGGCGGTACCTGTCTGTCTCCCGAGCTGGTCAGAAGCACAGTCGTGGTTAAATCTGCAAGGCAGGACTACCAGGGAAGTGGTCTACCAGTTGAAGCTGCAAGAAAAAGAATGAGAAATGAGCACAGAGCAGTGTTATCATCTCTTTTCCATCTGTAATTGCAAAGACTTTGGCTGCCCCAGTTGCCCCTCCCCTTTCTCTTTTTGCTTTCAAGTTCCTTCCTCTCAGGTTCCATATCTGCCCAACCGCCATGCCTGTCCTCACAACATTACATCTCACAGTTTCCTTTAATCCACAAAGATATTTCAAACATAAGCACTACCCATTATCTAGAGCAGTTCCCTTCTCCAAAATGTTCAGCATCTCCCATTTCTTTTCTTTCCCATGCTACTCCTTTAGGGCCCTGATAGGACATAAGAGACAGGGCCAGGAAGAGAATACAGAGAAAGAGAGGGCCTTCTCCCACATTTTGTGCAGGATGTGCAAATCTGCTTTGGTCAACCTTGGCTTAAGAGTCTATTCTTTATTTTGAAACTACATACAAAATGTCTTTATAACAATCTTTACACAAGCTTTTGGTAGATGCCAACCTGCCTTTTGGCTAAGGTACAGTATGGAAATGAAGAAAAAGGAACCATGCATCCTAGCAAAGCTCTTATCCTCTCTTATCCACCATGAAGCAGAAATACCTTATTAGAAGTTAGACAGTATTGCAAATTTTAATCCATTATCTTAACTGTGTTGCTTTTTATTCTGTGTGGGAAGAAGAAGGAGTAGAGTATTGGGCTTTGGTATGGGGAAAAATCAATTATATTGTTTATAAAGTTTTCCTATGAGATCAGAACAGAAGTGTACTGCAAGGAAAAACTTTTTTTTCCTAGCATAAATTGAGGTGCATCACTTTTATACTCACTTGTAAGTCTACGTCTTCTTATTTCATCAACCTCATTGTCCCCAGATTCTGAAAAGGAAGTGAGACCTAGGCTCCCTTCTAGGCGTAGGCCAGAGGCTCAGGCTCTGACTAAATCCCCAATATCTCTAGATTCTAGGGTCTCCATCCTTTCTTGCCCCATATCTTGTTCACAGATGTCCAGCTCATCAAATGCCTGCGACAGTGATTACAGTGTCAGAAGGTCCTCCTCGTTCAGCTATTTGAGAGCAAACTGTCCCAATAACTGACCTGCATGCGTTTGTCAAAAAGAAACAGGAACCAGGGATTGGAAACTACTCTGCAAAATATTTGACTAAATGGAAAGCAAGAAAGTAAAAGTCTCCTCCGATATCTGGTTTGTATTTCCTCACATATTATGCTGAGAAAATAGACTGCTCTTTTTATAAAGTTATTTCAATTGTGTATCTTGATAGTAAGGTATTATAAGCTGATAGACCCTCCCCTCAAGTAACTACTAGATTACTCAGGGAAAATGTAGCCAAGTAACTATCTGATTCTACATAGAATAACAGGCTTCGTTTCCTTAGATTAGTAACACTATCCAAAATGTTAATTTAAAGAACAAGAATGTTCATTGTAACATTGTTTATCATAATAATTTTTGGTTCCACAAATGTCCCTCAAATAAAACACTTATAAAACAATTTATTTTATAATTTTTTGATTTTTAAAAAAATCTTATATGTACCTGTTTGTTTTTAATAGCAGGCCACATTACAAATATCTTAGAACAGTGTTCAATGATATGAAGACTTCACAAAAATATTAAAAGAGAAAAGTCACATTATTATTAAGATTCTTTTAAAATCATATTTATGTATGTGGAGTACAAGCATACATTACAGCAATTATCACAGTGATGGGAATGTAATTTTCAGTTTTATCTTCGATTTCTCCTCTATTTTTTCTACAGTGCATACACACACACACACACACACACACACACACACACACACACTATAGATCAGTGATGGCTAGTCTTTTAGAGACCAAGTGTTCAAACTGCAACCCAAAACCCACATATTTATCACACAGTCGCAACCCTGCCCCTATGTGTGCTGTTACCCGATGCTCTGCTGCTGGGGTGATTTGGCTCTGCTGGTGCCAGTAGGCTCTGCATGCCAACTATGGCATGTGTGCCTGAGGTTCCCCAGCAGTGCCATAGATCATCATAGCTCTTCTTAACTCCAAAGAGTCCATGCGGTAGTCCCCTAAGGTTTCAGCATAAACGAGTTGTATGTGTGGGTGTGAAAAGAAATTAAACAGTTAAGTGGCACCTCTGAGACACTCTCCATCTGAGACAGCAGGGCTCACTGACAAGCAAATAATTGGGCCAGACCTTGGATGCCTGAATGCCTATGACTTCCCCTAGTTTCTAGAAAGCCAAACGTGTTTAGGTAAGTGATTCTTAGAGAAAAGTGAGTTTGGAATGATTAGTTTTGGATAAGCATCACTGAGCAGAGATACAGCAAGTTACCTATGTGTTATGTTGTCATTAATGATAGGAGGGGGTACTTTCTTCAAGAATAGTTGGGTAAAATAATTGGGTTTTTTATTAAAACAAAAAGTAAAAATAACAATAAAACAGAGTTTCAAAACAGATTAGTAGGAGAGTTACAATAATTAATATATTTCCTATTGTTATCTTTGTAGTAGTTACTCAGAGTGCAAAATATAGGCATGATATCTCATCCAAACAATATTAGCACAAACTTTTCAATGAACTAAGAGAAACTAGCTGTATAACTATCTTAACTATCTTATGTACAAATACATTTTTTTCTTTTTCCCTTCCTTTCTTTACTCTCTGCCCCATCACAGTTTGTCTTTTCTTTTGAACCATTTCTTCCCAATTTGCAATATCTATTGTACATTTTGGATCTTACTTACTCATTCAGTTTCTCACACTAATGAATGTGATGTTTGCACCTATGGGTCTGATTTATTTCACTTGTGAGTATGGTCTCAAGTTGCATCCATTTACCTATAAAAGTCTCAACTTTATCCTTCCTTATAGCTGAGTAGCATTCCATTATATTAAAAAGCCATATCTTTTTTATCCATTCCTCTGTTGATGGGCATTTGGGTTGTTTCCAAGTTTTAACTATTACAAATTGTGCTGCTATAAACGTGTGCATATATACTGCTGTGATACTACAAAGCTACTGTGATAAAATCGGCATAGTATTGTCAAAAAAACAGGCCTGAGAATCAGGGGAACAAAATATACTATGTTTTAATACTATGTTTTTAATTCTTCCATTAAGATACCCAGAAAGGGAATAGTTGGGTCAAATGGGACCTCCAATCTTAGTTTTTTGAGGCATTTCCACACTGATTTCCACAGTGATTTCACCAGACTACACTCCCACCAACAGTGGAGAAGGGCTCCTTTTTCCCCACACCTCCTCCAGCACTTGTTGTTTGTTCATTTCTTAATGATAACCATTCTCTCCGGGTGAGATGGAATCTCAGTGTTGTTTTAATTTGCATCTCTCAAATGACCAATGAAATTGAACATTTTTTCATGTATTTATTTGCCATTTGTATTTCTTCATCTGAGAAGTGTTTATTCATCTCAGATGCCCATTCTTGGTTTGGGTCTTTAAATTTGGGGGATCTGATTTTTTAAAATTCTTTATATGCTCTAGATATTAGTCCTTTGTCTGAGGGACAACTGGATAAAATTTTTCCACTCTGCAAGTTGTCTTTTCTCTCTGTTGGTGATTTCTTTTGTTGTGCAAAACTTTTCAATAAGGTGAGATCCCATTTGTTGATTCTTTCTAATATTTCCCTTGCAGTCTGGGTTTTGCTCATGACATTTCTGCCTACACCTATGTCTTCTATATTTCTACCTATTTTCTCTTCCAGTAAACTTAGCATTTCTACTTTAATATTTAGATCTTTGGCTCATTTTGATTTTAGTTTAATGCATGGTGATAGACATGGGTCTAGTTTTAGTCTTTACCATATAGAAAGCCAGTTTTCCCATCACCATTTATTAAAGATGCTATTTTTCTTTCAGTGAACATGTTCAGCACCTTTATCTGAGATAAGGTGGTTGAGTGTGTTTGTGGTTGTGCCCGCATCTTCTATTCTGTTCCCCTGATTCTCAGGCCTGTTTTTTTGACAATACTATGCTGATTTTATCACAGTAGCTTTGTAGTATAATTTCAGGTCTGGGATTTTGATGCCCCCTGACTTGACTTCATTGCCCAGAATTGCTTTTGCAAGGTCTCTTCTGGTTCCAAATGAATTTTAGGAATGTTTTCTGTAGATCTGTGAGGTATGCTAATGGTATTTTGATTGAGATTACATTAAATCTGTATAGCAGTTTTGGGAGTAGGACCATTTTCACTATCTTGAACAAAAGAGCAAGGGATATCTTTCCATTTTTTGATATCCTCTTTCATCTCCTTTTTTAGAGTAATGTAATTTTCACTGTATAGATCTTTTACTTCCTTTGTTAGATCGATCTCTAAGTATTTCATTTTCTAGATGCTATTTTGAAGGGTGTGGTTTCCCTAATTTCTCTCTCAGTGAGTTTGTTGCTTTTGTACAGGAATTTTATTGATTTATGAGTGTTGGTTTTGTATCCTGTTACACTACTGAGTTTAGATATGAAATCTATAAGTTTCTATGTAAAGTATTATGTAGTTTGCAAATATTGGTAACTTAACTTTTTCTTTTCTTATTTTTATTTCTTTTATTTCTCTCTTTTGTCTAATTGCTCTGGCTAGTGTTTCCAGGACTATACTGAATAGGACTGTAATAACGGACATCTTTGTCTTGTTCCTGATTTTAGAGCAAAAGCTTTCAGTTTTTGTCCATTTAGTATGATGTTGGCTGTTTGTTTGTCACAGATGGCTTTTAGTAGATTGAGGTAAAGACCATATATTCCAATTTTCTGTAGGGTTTTTATCATGAATGGGTGTTGGACTTTGTCAAATATTTTTTCTGCACCTATTGAAATGATTAATTTTGTCTTGTTTCTGTTAATATGGTGTATTACATTTATCAAATAATTGCTAAGGGTATTTCACCACTACTAAGGGGCTGCTAAGATCTTTCTACTTCTACTGATTCAGTGACTCGTGTATGATTGTCTGGGTCCTAGGTCCTAGACTCTAAGAGGAATCCACTGGGTAGTTATCTGGGTCAGCTGTTCTTAAGCCTCTTTCCCCCTTTTTAAAAAGTATCATTTTGGCAATCTTTCATCTTAAATTCATGTAATTCTAAAAATGTAGTTTTTGACACACAAAAAAAATATTATTCTATGATAAACCATTGTGTCAGTTTTGTAAATATGTAGAATAAAATCTAAGCTCTAGGAATCTGATGCTTACTATCTACTTTTCAAAGTATATAAACTAGCTTTTCTTTGTGAGTTGTATTTTGCTGTGCCTCTTGTTCTTTTTTCTCTGCAAATCCAAAACCACACTTTCATATGTTTTTTAATTCAAAATTGTAAGTGAATTTTCCTTCATTGCTGAAAATCTTTTGCTAATCACTTTTTCGCTTTAAAAAAAATCTCATGATCTAAGTCTGTGTTAAATCATAACCTGAAATCGCACACATACTTTTAAAATTTTGAAAACTTATTAGATATAAAAAATAAATTTCATTAGTAATCCATTTTTTAATGAAATGGATGGGGCTTATTTTAACGTTTTTAATAGATTCATATATTCATGAATAAATTTATTTGACTCATTTAGCAGATCTTTATTAAAAATCTACAAAAATAAGTACTACTCTGATCAATGATATATAGAATATAAGTATGCAAAATTCAGCCCTGAATTATCTTTCTGCCTTTTTTTATAAATGGGAGCTCTAAGACATCCCTGTTACATAAATAAACAGATTGAAAGATGCATTTTAATAGAAGTTTTATTCAATTCTTTAAATTACACATAAAAATATTACATAGTGATGTATCTCTAAAAATAATTTTTAATAGTTCCAAACTTGGAACTTGGTTTAGACTTCTCTTTCGTTTAGTTGGAAGCAAAGAACTGGAAATCATCTGATTTGTTTGAATTGTTCTTCCATCTTTAGAGTCAGTCATTTCTTTTTGTTTTCTTGAATTTATTTCAATAAATGTTTTTCTAAGAATTGTCTACTGATTATTAACTGTGCCATTACTCTATGGCTCAGAGATGTCTTGTTTAACGTAAAGCCCACAAGGAACATGGAGAAAAATAATACTTCAAACTTCTTGGTTGTCCTCCTTAGAAATCCAATTGGGAAATGATCTGCTTTATCAGATCACTGTGTAGTAATGACCACAGGTAGCCACATGGTCATATGCTTTATAGTCTCATAATTGCCATCTCCTCAGAGTTTATTATAGGGGGAAAGTTACCCCTACCCTGTGATAACCCCTTGGAGCATGATTACTTTCGGTGGTGATGCTCAAAGCTTAGAGGTTAGGTGTCCTTAGCAAGGATGTGTTCCATTTAGTACCTAGGCAGGTCTTTCCTGGGCACACTCATAGTTATGTCTGTTTATTTGATTTCATCTATACAATATCACATATAAATTTCAGTTTTTGTGTCTATGTGTGCTGATGCACATTTCTTCCAAATTTTGTGTTTCTTTAGTCATTTTAATTGTGATATGAGAAGCTCCAATGGCATAATCGCTTATCATGTGGTACTTATGTAATTGTGATATGAGAAGAAAGGAAATTCACCATGAAGATAGAAATAATCATGGGGATAATCATCTTGAAATAGACATCTCTCTCCTTTGTGATATTGTCTTTGTCATTTGTTAAATTTATACAAATATCAGAATTTTTCTTTTTGACTATCTATTCTCTCCTGTAATTCTGTTCTATTATTTTGGTCTATCTATTCTTGCCACTGTCATGCTAATTCATTTTTAGAGTTTAAAATATGTTATTATATTACAGCTGGTACTACACTCATTAGCTTTTGTCAAAAATAATTGATAACAAAATGAATTTTGAGAAAAAAAGAACAGTGGGAGGAATTACTCTTCTACTGCTAAAGAGAACTATAGAACTGAGAATGTAGCTCAGTGGGGAACACGTTTCCAGCATTGTGAGAGTCTAGATTCAGTCCTCAGCCATCCCCTCAAAATGTACCATGTACCTAGAGTTATACAGATACAGTGATAAAGATAGGGTGTTAATGGTAGAGAAACAGGTACACAGGTTTTTCATAGAAAATATAATATATAAATACATATCCCGATCATTTTTGCCAAAGTTTAAAGAGAAATTGAAAGGAGGAAGAATATTGTTTTTGATAAATGATACCCAAACAATTGGACATCCATAGGCAGAGAAAATGAACCTCAATCTTTCTACACAGATGAACTCAGAATGAATCACATACTTTAGATGTAAAACTATAGAGAATTTAGCAAAAAAAAAAAAAAGGGCCTCTTAAAAACTATAAAACTATCTCTGAAAGACCTTGTGAGGAAAATGAAAGGGCAAGCTATGAATTTGGGAGAAAATATTTGCATCTAATGTCAATCAAAAGTCTTGTATACAGATGCTATAAAAAGATATCACAGTTCAAGGGCAAAGACAACGATCTAATTAGAAAATAGACAAAACCATTAATGGGCATTTTCCAAAAGGGGATCTCTATATAGAAAATAAATAATAAACACATGAAAAAGATGTTAAATATTAGTTATTACTGAAATGAAACTTAAGGCAAAAATGACAGAACTATACATCTATCAGAATGGCTATAATGAAAAATGGCAATAATACCAAAAGCAGGCAAAGATTCAGAAGAAAAAGATCATGCACTAATTGCTGCTAAGAATGAAACACGGTATATTCTTTTCAAACTAAACACGCACATAAAATAAGACCTAGTAATCATTCTTTTGAGCACTTATCTCAGAGGAATCAAAATTTGCCTTCACTGAAAATCTGTGCATGAATTTTCATAGCAGTTTTATTAATAGTAGCCAAAAGCAAATGTTCTTTGTGGATGAATAGTTAAACATGTAGTGAAACATCTATGCCAGGGTGAATATTATTCAGCAATAGAAAGGAATACTTTATGGACATACACAAAACTGGCTCAAAGCGTATGCTATCAATCTAAAAATTTATGAATTTACCGTGTAGCCATAGAAAAGGGTAAACTTGAGTCATTTGTAGGAAAACTGATACATTTTAAGACCACAATACTAAGTGAAATAAATAGAGAAGGTTAAATATTGTATAGTTTCTCATATGAGAAATTTAAAATATAAATGATTTAAAGAGCTAGGTTTAAATTCCAGTTCCACATTCCACATTCCAAAGAATAGATCATAGGGAACAGAAAGGTAGACTTCTGGAGATAGCAAAGGGACTTGGGGACGGAGGATATGGTAGGGGAAAGGAGGAAAAAGAAAAGTAAAAAGAATTACTGAGATATGTGTCTGTTCCAATTCCCCAGGATGAATGTAACTACCTATGCATCATGAACATATACTTATTAGGAAAATAAAAATAAAGTTATACCTTATTATTCTATGTTTATAAAATTTTTGAAATAACACAGAATGATAGACAAAAGACTAGTGGATCACATCAAAGACTGGGAGTGGGGGGAAGCGAATGCGCCTCTAAAGAGCTAGCAAAAGAGAGCTAGGTAAACAGTTCTTTATACTGATTTTTATAGTTACCGTCATTACAAAAAGCAACACATGGGACAAAGCTTCATAGAATGGCACACACACACTACTGAGTGTCCATAAGTTTGTGTCATGAGAATAAACTTTGTGAATGGCACCAATATCAATTTCATGGTTTTCAGAGTGTGCTACTGTTACTCAGGATGTTACCGCACAGAGATGCTGGGTTAAGAATGCCCAAGACCTCTGTGTGCATTATTTTGCAACTTCTTGTGACTCTATAATCATTTCAATATAAAAACGAATGATAACCAATCTTGATTTTATTTATATATTTACTTTATTCTACGTGGTTTGTGCCACATTCCAAATTATTTCCAGGTAAATGCCTACTGCAATCCCAGAGTAAGTTCTGTCCTTCCCATTGATGAGGTACCTGTGGCAGGAGGAGGAATTACATAATATTACATAAAGTGTTGCAGAAAAACCTGGGACAGTTGCTTTTGACAGGAACTTGATTAAATATTCTTGTTACTCAGCTTTTTGAGCTTTCCTAGTGCTGAATATGAAAGCTGAATGATCATTATGTACATTTTACTTTTACAGTGCTAGATGGCATAAACTGTGCTGCTTTATAAATATTTATTTAATGCTGATAATTATGCTATGAGTTATCCCCATTTAAAAGTGAGGAGATTGAGTACAAGAAGCTAGGTCGTTTTCTCCGGACCAACTAAGGCATGAGGCTGAGACATCACTGCAGGTAGTGGGAGCCTGATGCTATGCTCTTACTCTTTATACTATGTGGCAATCAATGTTGTAAAAAATTAGCATCATAGAAAAAGGAGAAAAAAGCATAAACGTTAATTTATGTCAATTGTGTTACTTTGTGTAAATTGATAGGAAGTTGAACATTCAAGAGACTGGACAATATGAAAAGTGTGTAAGTTTTTGATCACAGTGACAAAATATCTGAAAATCAATTTAAAGGAAAAAAGCTTCATTTGGACTCACAGTTGCAGAGGTTCCAGTCCATGGTTATTTGGCTCTCTTGTTTCTGGGCTGTGGTGAGCAGAATATCATGGTGGAAACCAGGCTGTGCAGCAGAACAATTCACTTCATGACAGACAGGAGGCAGAGAGGAAAAGATGAGTGAGCGTGTGTGTGTGTGTGTGTGTGTGTGTGTGTGTGTGTGCAGAAAAATATAGAGAGATGAGAGGGTGGCATTCAAAGGCTCAAGCAAAATATACTCTTCCTCCAACGAGGCTGCAACTCCAAAATTTCTATCACTTTGCCATAGAACCACCAGCTGGGAACTAAGCTTCATACCCAAACCAGAACAGCAAGCTAACTTGGGCTTCCTTTCCTCTTACAAACTCAATCTCAAGTTAACACAAGAGAAAAAGAGGATTCAGGTTAAAACTCTGAAGTCCCTGAGACGCAAAAGATAACAGACTTGTGTTCTGGGAGTGAAAAAGAAGCCCCAAAGTGGGTTCTGTATCATCACTTCAGAGTAAGAGAAGGTGAGACCTTGTCTCTCTTATTCCTTCTTCTTTCTTCAACTCTTGGCACATTGACGGCTTAGGAGAGAACGGCAGAAATAGTTTTCTTTCATGGCGCCTGGGATGGAATAGCTGTTCAATAATTATTCAATAGATAAAAAAGGTGCTGGGGCAGGAAAACGATGAGAACAAAAAATGATGACCTGCACTGGCTTGTCTAGAGTCTCTGGCTGTGACAGGTGAAAACCTTGTGCATCTTCACAGGTTTTATACTCTTCTTTACTGCAGATACCTCTTACTTTTCATTTAAGCTTTTGTTTTATTTTATTTTTTCCCGTTCCTGTCCTCTCCTTTCAAACCCATCCTCCTACCTGTTCGCAAAGCTCTGTTTTCATTTTATCTTTCTTTCCTCTCTCTTCTTTCCTTTTCTTCCTTTCCTCCCTCTTCCCCCCTCCCTAGTTACCTTTTCCTTTTGAATAGTTTCTTTCTATTTCACAATAGCTATTGTACATTTTTCTTTTTATTTACATTTTCAGTTTCTCACATAGGAGAGATGATGCAATATTTATGCATGTGTGTCTGATATCTTTCACTTATGATTATGGTCATAAGGTGCATTCCATTTAGCTAGGCATGTCTCAATTTTATCTTTCTTCAAGGCTGAGTAATATTCCACTTATAAAAAAAATCACATGTTTTTTATTCATTCATTATTTGATTGGCATTTGAGTTGCTTCCAGGATTTAGCTACTACAAACTGTGCCACTATAAACATGGGTGTGCATATATTGCTGCAGTTTGATGCTTTTAATTCTTAGGGAAAAATATCCAGAAAAATAGCTGGGTCAAATGGAACCTCCAATCCTAATTTTTTGAGGAATCTGCACACTGTATAATAAGGCTCTGTCCTTATTGCTGATACTCCTCTCCAAGTTTTATGACTTCCTCTCAGGAGAGTAAATGACTTGGAAGTTCTGATAAAGAGGCACAGGAGGAAGGCTCCAAGTGACTGAGAGAAGGAACACGACAGAAGAAGGCAAGATGGAGGGACTTCTTAGCAGCCTAGCTCACCTTGATCTCCAGAAATGTCCTTCTTGTGTTGCTGGGAAGGAATTAAAAAGTAAAACTGAGTTTTTTGGCTTCCTATTTAGACCTCTTGCTCAGATTTTTTTTGTCCAAAGACACAGAACTGCTATACTCAATGTGTATAATTCCAACTTTCCCTGTCACATCATTCCATTACTTTTTTTTTTGATACCGAGAATTGTACTCATGACCTCATGATTTGTGAGGCAAGCGTTTAAGCCACTGAGCTATATACCCTCAGCCCAAACCTCATCTTGTGGAAGTCTTTTTTCTGGTACCAGGAATCGAACTCAGGACCTTGCGCTTGCCAGGCAGGCATTTATACTGCTGAGCTATATCCCCAGCCCCTTCCATTAATGTTGCTGATGATTCTGAAAATCCTCAAAGAGCCCTTTCATCCTCCAACCTCCTCACCAACACTTACTAACAAAGCCCTTCCTCTTCTGAGGTAATTACCCATAGGCTATGTTCTTCTCATTTTTTTCTTTTGTTCTATCTGATTCCTACAATATTCTGACTGGGTTCACTTTCCTGTCATTCTCGGATATTCTTTAGATAGATAAGCAACATGTGTCTTTGCCCCCTCATAGAGAAGGAAATTAGAGGCACAGATAGGAGAGGACAGATCTAGAGTTACAGAAGGGCATGAGCTTGCCTTTAGGCGCTGCTTACTGATATCTGCTTCTTTTATCCTTCTTTGCAGGTATACACAGTGAGTCTGAATCTTCCCCTAACAATTTTCAGAAAGCTCAGAATATGAACACCCGGTGGAGATTACTGTAGCTTTTTTAACCCCACTGGGCTGATCACACACAGAGAATAATGATATTCCGCTTTCTATAAGAAGCTGCCACTGTAAGTCACGCTGGAGGATGCAGTTTCATGGATCTCAGAGGATCGAAGCTGAACAACCACTGAGGAGATGTGTCAGCTACCAACCCTGTCTCCACAGGAAGTGTCCGGGAGAAAAAAAGGGCAAGTGTTAGCGTTGTATTTTCTAGGGCACTGGACAGTCACTTCAGAGCATGACCCTGTATCACTGCAGAGCTATCATCTCAGTTCTTGCAAAGTGACAGCTCTCTAGATTAGACGGATTCATTCAGTGATTCCTCCTATCCCACCCCAAGCCTGTAGGCTTCTTTAATCTATTACAATTGATCTATTACAATGGAAAGAATTTTTCCAGGACTTTAGGTGTTTTAGCTTTAGTCAGTCTCTCTTTCCTAATTTCTCCCTTTTACCTTTATTCCAGATTCTCCATATTTGCACTCTGCATTGTGGTTGTGGTTGTTGTGGTCATGGTTGTTGTTGTTGCTGTTCACAGGCTCCTGCCTCTAGTTATCCCTTCGTCCTTAATAAGTCACACCAGGGGTGATGGTATCCGGAAGCCTCTGCTGCACACAGTGCAGCACTTCCCTGGAACATGCATCTAACAAGAACTACTTGGTGGTTCCTCACCTGAGTCTTCTGGCTGCTGGCTACTTCAGACCTCCAGAATAAAGAGCATCTTCACCTACAGGATCCACTGCAAGGAGAAAATAAGAGTTCACCCACATCCACTCCAAAGTTCAAAGGTCATGCCCATCTTTCCAGTCCCCTGCTTCATGACTACGTCCTGGCTTTCAACCCCAACATGATTCTGAAGAAGTCACTTATTTCTTGGAGGGGCTGGGCCTCCTGGGGTTAGGATAATCTCTTCTCTGGCTCCCTCTTCCTGGTGGAGAGACTGACCACTGACATGCACAAGTGGCAGCCACCCATGGCTGAGAGTGGGCTGGCGTGGGGGGCCCTGAGGGTTTGGGTTGGCAGCACCTCTGCAGGAAAGTGGACTAACTACATAAAAGTCCCTGAGGCAGAGTGAAAAGGGAGAGGAAAGAGGTGTGGAGAGAAAAGCAAGTGAAGGTGTGACCTTCACTTGGTTGACTTAATGACCTTGTGCGTAGACCTTCTATCTGATTGACAATTTTCTGATCCTCATATTTGATGTTTTAGCAGTTCCATATTAGGCAATGATATTGCCCCAGATTTTTTTCTCCTATGAACTCTCAAAGAGCTTCACCTGAATCTCCTCTCTCTCTCTCTGCCTCTCTCTCTCTCTCAAGTAGCCATACATACATACTCTGTATCTTATATCTCCTATGATACTGTAAGTCCCCTAAATGTCTAACCAAAACTTAGACATTAAAGGCATCTAATAATCTTGAATATGTGAATTAATGAAAATGAATTTTAATACATTTAGTCCTATACAGGATGACACATAGAGTCATGTGGATCACTGTAAGACAGTACTCTGATACCATAACTATAATGAAGTAGAGGCACAAATATTAGTGGCAGGTCCCACATAATCAAGTGGCCTTGATCTATTACAAACAGAATAGTAATAGATATTCAAACTTGTGAATGAGGGAGGCCTCCAGAATTTACATGTTTACTCACCTGGGTGCATTAGTGGAAAAACTTTCTCCTGAGAAATGATAAACAAATATGCATCTCAGAGGAGGAAGATTTTATCCCTAAAGCTTTTTCATGACTTAACTGTATGCAATCAGTTGGTATGATACAAGATATAGAATAGTCAGTTGATGGTATTTCATCTAGATGACTACTTATTTATTGTAAAACTATTAGTCACTGATTGAATAATCTATTCTTTTTTCTCCTAAATTTGAAATGACACTTCAAAAAGCAAACACTACCTTGATCACTGCTGCTGGACTTTCTATAATGTTCTGTAGTATCTTTGTCTACACACTTGTATAATACTATTTTAATTATCATAAGATATAGCTTAATTGTTGGTGGTTCTTGTTCTACTTTATTATTGTTCTATTTTGGATAATACATGGTCATTCTTAATTTTTAAATGTCTTGAAGTTTACAACATCCAGTCTATAGCAGTGGTCATGAGGTTAAACTTGATACTGACATTCACATAGGCTATCTCTTGCACCATTCATCTTTGTGGAGAGATATGAAATAAGAAACACAGCCTATTAGGATAGATGTATAAGGTGTGTACTCAAAGGAAGTTGTTATGGTGGCCTAGGGGCTATTTTCTGTTCTCTAACTAATACCTCAGGAAACAAAGCCACATACGAGATGTGAGCAAAAATCATGGTGAATGTTTTAATTTTTAAAAAATGTATTACAGTAAAAGGCCATTAATCCCCCTCAAAATACTTTCCCCTGCTTCAAACATACCTCCCCCCTTATTTTCTCTACTTAATGAAGCAGTTCTGAAAGTCCTCCTTCATGACTGTCTTTAGTTGAATTGCCGTGGCTGCCTTCATGTCTTGAATCAATATAAAATGTTTACCCTTCAGGATCATTTTGACTTTGGAGAAAAGTCAGAAGTTTCAGGGTGCCATAGCTAATGAATAATGTAGATAAGGATACCTCATAATGTTTTTACGAGCCTGCCTTCCTTTGGGTGGTACTTGGTAGCAGCATATTTTGTTTATTGCACTTCATAAAGATACTCATGAAAGAGGACTTCCGGTGGCAAGAATGGTGGCAATAATAATAGGATAAGTGCATCTGAAGCAAGGGGATGTGAGAAGGATTAATGGCAATGGGTGTTTTACTGCAATAATTTTTTTATTTAAACATTCATCATACATTTCAATCACATGGATGTAGGAGCCCTTCTGGCCCAAAAGCCTTATGCTCCTTAAAAATCAATACTTATAACTTTATAATGTGAGAGAAATAAGTCATAAGCAATTGAACAAATATGAAAATATGGGGGCTGGGGATTTAGCTCAGCGGCAAAAGCGCCTGCCTGGCAAGCGCAAGGTCATGAGTTCGGTTCCTGGTACCGGAGAAAAACCAAAACCAAAAGAAAATATGTAAAGTGCTTCCAAGGTCACCAATACAAGGACCATGCTCAGCTTCTAGTTTATCACCCTTGGGGATGCTCTTATTTCTGCTTCTCACCGGATGTTTACAGTCCCGGTAACCAATCATGGAAAGGGCTGCTGGCAACAAAACCAATGTTCCAATTTTATCTGGTGTTCTAGAAAACAGTGTCCAAATGTTAAGTAACCTAAGTTTAATTGCCCTAGGAAGAAAGAGAAACATAATTTGCTTGTTTAATCTTCAAGCAAAGGAAGAATGACCTCAAGGTCTTCTACCAAGAACAAACTGTCATTCAAGCATCAGGCGAAGGAAAGACATTTTAAGTCATGCATAAAATTCATGTGCATGTTTCCAGCAACTTTTTGAAGAAGTTATTTTGAGTGGACTCTCATCTACTACCTGAATTACCCAAATAATAACAAAAATTGATGAGATGACGGTTCACAGAGAAAAAAGCAAAAGTACTCCAAAAAACTGTTAGGTTATAGATAATATTCTGTGATCACAGTGAAGCTGTTCATTCACTAACAAAACTATGAAAAATCTAGATACTTAGAAGTTTAAAATGTAAGGGACTTTTATATAATTGAATACATATAACAATATTTAATGTAAAAGAAAAGAGCCAGATTTAAATATACAATTTGTTCAAAAGAATGAGGATTGAAAAAGATCAGAAGGTAGCAACTAGTAAAAATAAAAGCAGAATTCTAGAGTTACAAAGTAAAACTTCAGGTCAAACAAAAATTCTAAGGGATTAGTAGGGGAGACTGAGGTGTCAACTTTCTGATTACAATTCAAAGGGATGTCCCCTAATCTGTTCATATTTTTTGTATGCATTTCTTTACAATGTGACTTTGTCACTGCTCTATAAAGAGGGTGAGACTAGGTCTTCCCCTTGCATTTGGGAGTGACCATGTGACTGCTTTGGTGAAAAGTGACTTGATAAATGGCTGGAAAGGTGTTTTCATATCAGTGATCACTGTGTCTTTGTACTGTTCTAGAATAACTGTTTGGGGCCTCTCAAAATTTGTTTATTGAAGACTTAAATTCAAATAAGATTATATTTGAGATAGAGCCCTTAAATTTGAGGGGTTAAGTTTAAATGAGGTCATTAGGAATAGCCTACATTCCATAAGATTAGTGTCCTATTTAGAAGAGATACCACAGAAATTACTCTCTCACTGTGTGCCCACAGGAAGTCATGTGAGCCCACAGTAACATGGCAGCTGCCTATGGGCTCCTTCTGGGGAGGTCTAATGAAGCCTTCCTTGTTGCCATCTTGGTTTTGGACTACCCATCTCCAGATCTGTGAGAAAACTAAGCTGCTCAATCTGTGGTATTTTGTTATGACAGCCCAAGCAGATCAGCACAGGCACCCTATGTGGTCTTCACAGAAAAGAACAAATGCTCTCTTTTTCAGTCTAAACACTTGAAGATAAGTGAACTGTATCATGGGGAAGATCTGAGGTGACTTCATTTTCTTACTTTGCGGATGAGGAAACAGAGCAAGGCAGGTTAACCAACACCCACATGGAAAGTTCTGGATGGTGATTTCATCCTGGGAAGAGCAAGTCTGTGATGAGGCAGAAGGTTCTGGAAAGGAGTGAGAGAGCCTGGGGAAGTTATTTTGGGAACCGAGCAGCAGAGGACTCCAGCTGGCATAATATCACAATTCCTTAGTCTTAAGCTGTCTGTTTAAAAATAGAACTGTCACTAGACTTGAAAATACTGGCTGCAATATTTACTACATGGAAAAAAATTAACTGATGAGTTTTCAAACTTCCATTCAATGATGGTAGCCGTTGAATCTATGGAAGTGTTTTGCAAGAGCTTAAAAGTTTACATGGAGATTCCAGTGTGTTCCGATGCTTGCTTTGCATCTGAGAGATGAAATAAATAATAAGTTACTGAAATAGATGAGTATTATGAAAGAAGAGTTAAAGCCAGGAGGTGCAACAGTGTCAGGTGTGAGGCTTATGCGGTCAGGCAGGCAGATAAAGGTGCTGCCCTGTGTGCTGCCCTCCAGTGGCTATGCCAGCATAACAAGTGCCTTTTGGAGGTCTCCATTTATTTGGCATCAGGGTTTGAATTAGCGGAAGACAATCTTTCCAGAGAGGGGTGAGGGTGTTTGTACAGGAGGTGGCTTGAGATTATTCAAAGGAGCATGCAACCCTTACATGCGCCGTTCACAGTGGCACCTTTGAGACTCTAATGCTACTGCAGATCTGGCAGCAGGTAGAGCTCAGATGGTAAGGTGAGTGATGGGGACAGGTGTAAATAGAGATGAAGCTTTGCTAGCTGGACCACGCTCACCTACTGCTGTGCAGCCTGCTCCTAATAGTCCGCCAATTGATACTGCTCTATAGACCAGGGCTTGGGGACCTCTGCTTAATTTACTCAAACCTGGAACATGGACAGTAATACAAACTTAAAAATTATTTTTCACAACTATAGACAATATATGGA